CCTTAATGAAACCTCCGCCCTGACACCACCGCCGGCCTGAGTTACGAACGCCTTTTCGAACTCAGGCCCTGACACAGACGCCTATGCCTATTTTTTCTGCCCATTACGAACTCCCATGTGACATAAACGTATTTCCCCCCCAAAAAAAACAGGGGCTGCCAGCAGGATCACAGTGGCCAGCAGTCACTCAACCTTTACTGCATATTGTTGCAACCATGTTTCACCCCCCGTCCTTCCCTACTGGGGAGGGACAAGGGGTCGAGCAGGGTACTCAAGCTATGACATCAGCCACCAGAGCCCCTGGACAGACGCTTGCTGAAAAGACCATAGATTCACACACAGATGTGCAGCTTGACAGCAAGCACAGTTTGCTGCTGATGCTTCCCCTGATCCCATTGTCAGTGAGAAAATAATAATAATAATCACCAATAAAAAAGAAGGCGTGGATGTAGAAAAAATAGAAACAGCGGACACGGCAGGTTTTGAGTTCATAAAGGCAAAAAAAACACGTGCCAGCAAAGAAAGCAGGCAGTGACTTCGAAACGACAATTTTGGTCGAAAAGTATCCGTTGGGCTTTTATTATTTTTTCCTTCTTCCCCCATCTGACACCATGGCCGACCCCTGTAAATATGACACCAGGTCTGACACCACAGCCGTGATGCTTTCATTGCTCCTTCTTTCGAACTCGCACCTGGTTTCTTTGCCGAGGCATGTTTCTTTTGCCGCCCATGAAACTCTGATGTGACATGAAGGTACTTCCCTCAAAAGAAAGAAAAAAACAGTAGCAACAGTTACCGCTTTCATCTTCAGCGGCAAAGCAGCAGCTGCAGCTGCAGCTGTCATCTGCTGGTGCACAACAGGAGCTTTCACCTGTGGCTGCAAGCAACAGCTGCAGCTTTCATCAGCTGCTGAACCATCTCAGACAGAGCCCCAGATGACAGCGCAGAACGATGATCTGAGGCGACAGGGGGTGTCTGAGGAGGATGCAGCAGAAATGGATCTGCGTACGCCAACACTGGAAACAACAATGGTGAGTCATATGCATGATGTAAATTCAAGTCAGTCCGATTCCTCTCATTTGCCACAATCTAAAGAGGAACTGAAACCAGGCAAACGCCAACGCTTGAGGCATGCCTTGGAAAAGGACAAGTGTCCAGACTGCAGTCTCCAAAAGGAAACTTGGTGGTTATGATCAGAAAGAAAGAGGGCAAATGGGGAAGTGGGACTCTCCACAGTGGGGCAAGGTAGTTATGGGGAGGATGGAAAACATATGTGGATTACCAGGTTGCTGGGGACCGTACTCACAAAAAGGATTTACATGAATTTATTGCAGAACACTATGACCTGGGTCAGCAGGCCAGACTGACAGAAACAGGGGAATGTGCATTGATGGCCAAGAGGGACACTTTTGTCTCTTTTAAGGAGAACAAGGAGGCAGGAGTCAGATAGTATTCCCATGCTGCTCTCTTGGAACTCCAGCAGCTGAAAGTCAAGGCTAATCCCATCTGGTCTGCATGTGATATTTGTGTGTTCCCCTGTACCATTCTGCGCAAGGGCCTGCTTCACAGCCCTTCAGAATTTGGTTCCACTGATTGGATATAATTTGGAATATTCATAGAATCTCATTGTTTTTAGGGTTAGTACTCCCTGACGCCCCCCTCATAGTGGATCCACCATCCGTGTGTCTTGCTCCCCCAATTCATTGTCATGCCAAAGACCCTCGTAAACTTCTCATCAATATACAGATCTCTTCCAAGTTACTCTGTGTAGCCTCCACCATAATTGTGAGATCATCCACGAACAGGGAACAAACAAAGACAGCCTCCTCCGGTATTTGTGCAATTTGGATCTTGGTAGTATTATTCTATGCCTGAAGGTTGACAGCTAAGGTCTGCATAATAACCAAAAATAAAAAAGGGGCAATTGGGTACCCCCGGCGGACCAACTACTTCAATCTTACCGGCGGCGCCAGACTCTCATATACCTAAACCCAAGTAATTGCATTTTGAGGAAGAATCAGTACCCACCGCCTGAAATCCGGCCCAAAATTCATTTTTTCTAAACATTTATCTAGAATGCATCAGTCCACATGATAATATGTTTTTTTGAAATCAATAAAACCAAGGTTGCATTTTGACGGGTGTGTCTGGCAAGCTATAGAACCTCATGTACTAGACGAATGTTTTCTTATATGTTCCTATTCTGCATGAACCCGACATAGGATGGATGGATAATATCCTCCATTACCGGAATCATCCGCCTGGTCAAGCCTTTTGACAATATCTTATAGACAACCGTAATGAGTGTGATGGGCCGCAATTCCGAAATTCGATGTCCATCTCACCCCCCTTCTTATAGAGGAGGGTCATCACCCCCTTCCCCACCCTCTCTCTCATTTCGATACCTCGCCCACAAAAATCATAATATATTGGCTCAAAGAATCACAATTGGCTTCCCAAAACTCTTTGGGAAACCCATTTATCTCGGGTGTCTTGTCCTCTCGCATTTGCAGGAGGGCAGTCCATATCTCTTGCCTAGAGAGTAGGGCATCAAGAGACTTTCGTTGCTTCAGCGACAATGCCTTATTCACAGACTCTAAAAACTCATCGATTTGCCTATTGTGAGATATCTCATAAGAGTTGTCGATGTGCGAGGAAAATAAGTCGTTGTAAAAGTTTCATGTAATCTTGGTACATCTGGTCGTGGTCACGGTTCGGGTCGACTTCCCTGCCTCTGGATCGTGGAGGACCTCAATCATAGTCTGTTTAGCATGTGTCGTAACCAATCCGAAAAATTATGAGTCCATGGTTCCGTCCATTGAGAAACTGGCTAATCTCGCTCGTATTTTGGCTCCCTGTCAGCGGTATCGTGCATGTTCCAAAAGTTGTGCTCTTAGGTCTTGCACTTAAGTTTGTGAGTCGATGATCTTTTGCTCATGTCCATGTGAATTTTCCTACTGCTCTATTTTCAAGAGGTCTCGCATGATCGTAATTTCTTGTTGATGCCTCTGGGCGACTAAGTACTTAGAAACTTCGTTGTTGTTCCTGCCCAAGAAGAATAGCCTATTGCTAAACCACGCAATTTGAGAGTCTTGTTGCAGACGACAATCCTTCCAATAGTCTCAAACTTGTTGTAGGTATCTCTGAAAGGACGTCAACTGGCGCAGAGAGGTGTTAAGCTCATAGTAGTTAACCCTCTGGTCCAGCAACTTGCGGAAGGTTCAAACAGCCATACACATCCTATGATCCGGATCAGGGTATGAGTTCCTCAACAATATTGTCAACGTTGTGAACTCACTTGCCAACTCCTTCGAAGCTATGTATCCCCCCCGGCGGCGGACAGGCGCGGCCAAGTTCTCGGCCGCGGCCAGTCCGCGAAGCTCGCGGACGTGTCCGCGCGGACGCGCAGATTGGCGGACACGTGGCGGCCGCAAGGGAGGGGGTTTCGCCATTCTGACAGCGCCACATGGTGGCGCATCCTCTGCCCC